GACTGTGTTGGAGAAGTTCTAAGATAAGTTTGCATGGTTTCGTGTTCATCCCACCTATTGGAACTAGGGGGGCTAGATTTTTAGAACAGATGGCACATGCTTTGATTAAAAATGAGCCTTTTGCCTTTAACATATACAATCAATATCACTATTCCTACTCGATTCTCTTTGTATAATGCTCAAGTCAGTGGTCTCCAGCAACTGTCATTGATCTTCGCCATCTGCGTAGGAATTGTCTTGCTTGCCTCCTAGTTATTCAGAGATACCACGACACCACTTGGCGTTTAGGTTCAACCAAGCAGCGGCTCAGATTGCCTGAACGTTTTGTTCCAAGTGACGGAAGTAAGGATCTATCCCGAACCCATCGCAGCAACTAGCATATCGATCGGCGTTCACTCTGGCGCTGGCACGAATTGCTCACCTATATTTGCACTGATGAGTCCCAGAGAAGATAAAATCTCCATATAGTACCGCTTCGACATGTTCGTTATAGTTACTACCTTAAATCATCTCATGAATGAAGAGAAGCAAGACGGATAGCGCTATTCTGACATTTCGAGCGCTCTCGTCAGTCACCTCCGTGAGACATGAAGACCTAACCGTTGCTGTACGTGTGGAGCGAATGGGCATAGGCCAATTGCACATTACATAATCAGGAGCGGGAGAATCTAAACGATGCCCCAGTTGTTTCTACGCACTTCCCTAAACGGTCATGGATTCGGTTCCGCGACGGGGACCGACGAAACCCACACCAGTGATTAGCACCAAGAGGATGGAACCGTCGCCTGGAGCTTTCTCGTACTGCTATCTGCTTGGTCTAGCTGGCTTGTAATTTCGATGAACCAAATAAAGCCGCGCTGAGCGACAACATTTTTTGGATTCCTGTTGCACATGAGTAGATTGAATGCGTCTAACGGGTCCACGCGATGGTGCCATCACGAGGTGTTTTGTGTTAAGTGAGTCAGTTTTCCGGTTCCTCAGTCAACTTACCCCATCTCGTAAGGAGAATCATCCCTCGTGTGGTTTGAACGAGTTGCAAATGATCGGCTACCTAGGTGCTCGTTAGGGAGTAAATTTGCGCTCTTGTTCCGTGTTGTCTGATATGTTGTTCGCTTTCATTTAAGCTGGTAGCTTCTTTGAGATTCTGCTTTGGATCTGGGTGAGTTTCTCCGCATACCCACCGACAGTCATCATCATCATACACGTTAGCTAGAGGTGGGAAACACCTCAGCTACTCTGCCGCAATACATGGAAAAAGGAGAAAAAAGCAACTGGCGCAAGCTGGCTGAGCTACCGGTAACGGATGGGCATCGTTCCGGTAAGCTACCAGCCGGCTGCTGTGCACCCAAAAAAAATTATTATGCAAAATTATATAAGGCTAAATAATGAGATCGTGGTTGGAGGGGGAAGCTAAGAGGGATGGGGTGGGACAAAGAAACTCACAGCACGAACGCCACTGAGGTCGGCTCCTAGCCATATCAGCAAGTGTGTCCAACCAAACGTGTTCATCGACTTTCGGACCCCAACCAGGGAGCCGAGACGCTCCAACCGAGGCCAGCTCAGAAGTGAGGGCCTTCATTCCTCTCGACCAAGTCATCGCTTGGCCACCCCACCTCTTCTTATATCCACACCCCCGGCGCGCAAACAACACACGTCGCGGAAGTCGGTGGGTTGGCATGCGTAACACGTGGCCGAGCCATCGGAGCCTGATGCGTGAAATAACGGTGCTGAGCGGTTCAGTTCCCTTTCGAGTGCCATAAACAAGGCGTCGAACACGCTCGTTGCTCACGCGGTGTTCCCACCAAATGTGAGCTAAATTACGAAGGCACCGGTGGTCGAACGTAACTAGCCTCTTCAGGTCCGCTGCTTTAAGCGGCCATGTTTCATAACCGTACAGTAGGGTCGAAGGTACCGCTGCATTGTACACTCTACCCTTTAGGGCAAGAGTGATGTCGCGCCGGCGCCATAAGTGGCGAAGGTTAGCAAAAACGTCTGGAGCTTTTGCAATACGATTCGTGATTTCATCTTCAATCCCACGGGCGCAGATACAACTTCCCAGGTAGTTGAATTTTTGAACGACTTCTAGCTGATCTCCACCAAGGGTGAGCGTAGGAGGCGGTCCAACCCACCGACAGTAGAAGCTTAGGTAAGTATACTTCCTTAGCTTTTAGCTTCTCGAAGTTTTACCTTCTCCGGGCCCTCTAGAAAGGTTCTCACAAGCTTGCGTTTGTACACAAACGGTGCGAAGCTGGTAAATTGGGGGTACTGGCCACTCCAAACCGTTTTACAACGAGGTATCTCATCAGCTACCCTGTTGCTCGCGTGAGATTCATGTGAGCTGAATTCAGAGAGGAGACCAGACTGTCTAAAAGTTCACCCCTGGGGATGATCAAATTCAAGTTCAAGTTCAAGTGGGACTGGAACAATAGGATTATCGCGTGAGTGTTCCTTCATCAGCGGGTCGTTGAACCAGGAGTTGGCAGACTTTGAAATACTGATGGAACTAAAACAAAGACCGCATCATACCCTGTCCAATCAATTAATGCCCGCGTATCCTGCCCTAGCAGTCCCTTCTGTGCCGGTTACGAGAAGTAAGAAAGAGAAAAAAGTAAACTCAGAAGACAAAAAGAGAAATTGGAAAGAGCTAAGCGAGTAAAATACCAAGCTACTTGAGTCCTTACAGAAAGCACTGAAAAGCGAAGGTGAGTCAGTTAGGAAAAAGGAAAGGCATGGTGTTGCCACCCAAGAGCATCGAGCTGGCGCGCAAACCCCTTAACCGTAGGTTCTCTAACCACGTGATCTGGAAGCGAATTCCAGCGACCTATAAATCGGCGCGACAAACGAGTTTCCGTTCTAATCTTATCAGACCGTGGTTTATAAAGTTTCAGTGGGGGATCGCGGAGATTAGGTAACGTAGCGGGACTCAATAGTGAGAATCAGGTCCCCTCTTCGGTAGTGCATTGAGTACATCCCCAAACTGAGCAAGCGTTCAGGATACGTCTATCCCCGTAGACCATGCACTAACCCAGTGCCCACCCGTAACACCCTATCCAAGTTCATTTTGTGTCGGATAAGACATGATGGACAAACCTGGATACAATATTGCAAGTGAGGTCGGACGAATGCCGGGAATAGGTTCACAAACAGATTAGCCGTTAGGATTCTGAAAGAGCGGCGGATAAGCCACATCATACGAAACCCCCGACAAGCAACCTTCCAATTGTTGTCAGAATCAAGTGCTAATGTGTGTACGATCCCTAAATCAACCAGCTAAGTGACAACAGGGAGTTCATTACCGCCGACAACATATCGGGTTGGAGGATTAGCAGCTCCAATTCGGAGAACAGAGCACTTGGCCCTATTTATGGGCATCAGCCATGCGGCAGACCATTCCCAGAGTCAGTCCAAAACACGCTGAATTGCCTCAGAGCTTAAGTTCGTCAGCAAACATTAGTGATGACACACCCAGCTCTCCCGGCAAGTCATTTACATAGGTCGCGAACAACAATGGCCCCAATACTGAGCCCTGTGGGATGCCACTAAGGACAGCTTGCCTGAGCGAAAGGATATGCCCCACCAAAATCTCGTCCAACCAACCACCTTGTTTGAGTCAGATTACCTTAGTCCTGCTAACCCAACGTGTGTTTCCCCGCTGGCATGGTTGTCTCACATTTACGTTTGCGTGTATACATCCTGCATTCACTAAGTGTACGACGGACAACATATCATAGCTTGTGCTTTGTCTTGATGAACTTTTTGACACCACTTCTGCCAAGGAGTTCATTTGAGCGCATCAACGTTGCTTTATGCTTGTCTCCTCGACTTGGTGCCGCATCGCTTAAGCTAACACCTGCACTACCGGCTGCATGTTCACGTGTTGCTACGCCGCCTTTGTAAGTGCCCGCATTCTCTTAGCGGTCTAACACGCAGCAGCTTGAGTCGTTACGGCTCCGATCGTGTTGCCGACACATACACGCTCGCACCTGAAATTCTCTGTGTCCACCGGTTGTTTCACATTGGTGTGACCAACGCGACTCTCCCACAGCAGACGTTTTAGTGTACGGCCCAAGGTCGCCTCTTGCTGGTCGGTCTCGTGAGTCGGCACTACTCTTGAGTCACCACTGCCAGATGTGAGTAATTTTTTGTGTCCGGACCCGAGTCATCGCGAGTTGACTTTCACTGTGGAGAAGTAATTGGCATGACCAATACTTTGCACATACTGACCCACATGCGCGCGCGCGCGCGCGCTCGCATCGTCCCGGATCTGGTGGCTTGGACTGGCTTAGCCACCCAGACAATGGTAATGCTTAGCCGCGGTGGTGGTAGCAAGTGACACACTGGAAACCGGTCATTATTATCCCTTAGAGCGTACTCCGCGACCGCTGCGGCCGTGACGAGAACCGTCACAAATGTGCGCGCGCACGCGCGCGCCTTCGCTCGCCGCACACACCACCTTGCACACAGACGCACATCCTTGGACATGTTGCAGCCACGACCGACCCCTGTCTCTCGTTTCGCCTCCCGGTTCACTCCTGTAGCCCGCTGCATTTGAACGCACGTCATGGCCTCTCCGCTGACTGACCATCTGTCATGCACTGCAGAGCAGCCAGGACCATCGCGCTCACGTGATGGCTTACGAACTATCGGTGTACATATGCCCTGTAACTTTGCACCGTTATGTATTTTACGTTTGGATGGCTTATCCATCTGTGTGTGCATAGATGTATCGTAGATTTGCGATCCCTGCAACCTGACCTCATAATGTCTATCGTAGGCCGTAAGTGCACACACTCCTTCGTCCGCCCTCCCTTGCCTGCTACCGTAACACACAACACACACAGCGCACACGAGTGACTAAACTCAGTTTTTACGTGTGTCACTCAGCCTTATCCTTGACACGTATGGTACGCATTCGTGCGTTCATATGTGCGCGCATACACGCGCGCGTGCGTGCGTGCGTACGTAAGGGTTGACCAGTGCACGGCTCACAACTGAGAATAATCGCGGCCATGGGTCAAGTGTGCACACCGTTCCCGTAACGGGCTGTGCACAACATCTCTTATTCACCTGCTCGTCCACCCGACATTCCGCCCCGCGCGGTCCTTCACTGGCCTGCAGGTTGTGCTCGCTGTTACCGATCCCATTCGCCAAACCACTCCTCGGTCCAAGCCGCATGGCCACACTGCAGTCTGGGCATGTGACGGCCGGCATGGGTCCCAGCGTCAGACCACATCCAGTCGGATTACTGCCGGCAAAAATGGATGAGTTGTCCGCCTTGTCTGTCGCCGCGTCGCATATCAGATCCACTTCCTTTGCTGCCGCTACCGCAGCCGCCGCCGCCTCCTCCTCTTCTGCAGCATCAACCGCCCCTGACCTGTTGACTACCGCATCGGTCGCAGCCCAGCTAGCTGCCGTCTTCACTCCGACATGCAGTACCGGTTGTAACAGCATGAAAACCAATGCGATCACCACAGTCTCCGCCACCACCGCCGCGGCGGTCGGTACAAGTGGGGGTAGCGCCAACGGATTTGACTTAGCTTCGGCAATTGCCGGAATTTTGGGTTTACCATTTCCTGTGAATATAGTCTCCAATGCACATGCCTCGCCTCTACCACACACTCTTGTACCCTCAATTATTAATGTACCAGCCACGTCTAACCCCTCGAATCACCCAACGCACACATCATTCCCCCTGCATCATCCTGATGAAAGTGGGTCGAGTGGGTGTCCAGTTAACCATGTCACGAATCCTCTAGACCACGATCCATCAGGCTTGTATGACACTGGAAAGTTGCCTGCTATCCGTGGGTCCGAAACTAATCCTACCTCGCTTATTTTCTCCTTTGCACCACCACCGCTTCCACCACAACCAACACCAACAACAACGCAGACATGCTCCGATGTCTCTTCGGACACTGGATCGATCCAGTCTCCATTCCCTGCATTCCAACCGTTGTCCACGACGGCGTCGAACTTTACCGTCTCTTTGGCCGACTCTCTCATGCACTACGCTAGTGGTGTGCCCAAATTGCCTACCGACCCGAACGACTATGACCTCATGACGTACAGTGCGAGTTTGTCAGCTTCCGAACGTGATCGCAAACAACGTGAATTCATTCCGGACTCTAAGAAAGACGACAAATATTGGGAGCGAAGACGCAAAAACAACGAGGCGGCGAAACGTTCGCGTGAGAAACGTCGTCAAAACGATATTCTGATGGAACACCGAATCAATGTGCTGATGGCTCAGAACACAAGATTGCGTCAAGAACTGATAGAATTAAAGCTTCGCTTTGGTCTACCGGTGGACGAGTCCGATCGTAGTCCGATTTTGATGGACGAGTCGTGTTACACGCCAGACACGCCCTCGTCTCATTCGTTACCGGTGAATAATAGCACAACTAAAAACAACCACAACATCGCCACTCCGGACGACAACGAATCGTTTCGATGTGAGGACAAGGTACTTGAACCGACACCACCACCGCCCGCACAACGACGACGAAGCAGTGCTGCTCAGTTTGACGAATCCGAAGGCCATACGCTCGTAACTCTGTCTACTGGCACTCTACGAACGGATTCGAGCCTCCCCCACCATTCTGGCTCGACAGAATTGACTCAACACTCATACACTCCCATCGCTAATACCGTTGAGTCAAGCACAAGGAACGGCGATTTCCAAATCTCCGGTGGGTTACCGCACTTGAGAGGCTTGGACGGTACAGACTTGCTCACCTTGAAGCGTATTTTCACCACACTTACCACTAGGCGTTGGAACGATCCCGACGAGACTACTGGATGCGAATTGGCCAGACCGGATTCAGGGTTGTCACCCAAGTCCGTTTGCAGTCCATTGGCAAATGGTTCATCCGGGTTGAACAACGCCTCAGCCGCCACAGTGTCCGCCGTGTCCTCCTCGGATCCCGTCGCTGCCGCGTGGCTTTTACAACAAGCGATGTTGCTATCAAATACGAACGACAGTAGCGTCACTCATCCGCTTAAATTGCCAGAACTTCACACCCATGGCACCAGGACACCCGGATCCTTGGAACGGACCAGCGCTTTGCTCAAACTCAGTGGAGTGAATATGCATATTTCGACACCGAGTCCGTTGGCTGGTACAGACTCCTCACCCGCGCTCCCGTTCGAATCCCCATTGGATCTCAGTTTATGCATGCAAGCTGTACGTGCTGGTGAGTTCCCGTTACGTATTTTGTTATAATCTGCATTTTTTGCGTGCCGTGAATTAATACTTTTGTTTTAAGCTCAACACTAAGTAGCATGACTTAAGCGATGTGTTTTCATAGACTCAAATGTTCATACTCCTCATCTGTTTGTATACGTAGTACATTACGTTACAGTGACTAACTGCGTGAGGTTTGAACATTTCTCCATATTCGCAAATAAGCATTAATACTTTTTCTTGACTGCCAGCTGATGGGTCTGAAGCGATCCCATGATTAAGCAAAGCAGAGATTGAAATCCCAACATTCCTGTCGTCTTGCCACCATCAGCTTTTTCATGTCCCTGTTCACTACTAGTCAATTACTACAGCTTAGTATGCCCCATAACACAACATCCGAAATGCATGTTGCCAATCGAGGCAGTGGTCGCACCATGCTACTCGCCTTTAGGCAAATGCTGCAACTTCGCCGATATCGATTTTTGCGGAAGGCTGGTGAGCACATCGATCGTTTATGTGATCTCCCGGTCAACACGAGTTATTTCTATAACGCGTGTAGTCACACATACTCAAGTTGCTTTGTTTTCACTGACGGGCAATACGAGAAGCGAAAATTTTCCGATTATTATTCGGTTCGGTCAGCTTCCACTCGTACACCCTCAAAGTTGTCTCGTGACTAGCTTTCAGGAGGTGAGGACAAATGTGCCTAGGGCTTTCAGACAATTTCAGTGTGGCAGATAGAACAAGCCCACGATATCGTTCACCGGGTTTTGTTATGTGATCTCGTGTGTAACGAGTTCGTACTTATGCCGGGTCTGTCGAGCATAGATGACGTAGTTCACATTGAGCCTCAGTGGGGACTACATGTCCTCACTCGTCTAGTAAGCGAAGTGATTCCTTCGAGACCCCAATACCATCGGGTACTGCAGTTGGTTCAGTTCCACATGAGTTTGTTTGAATTGAGTTGAAAATGCACATTTCTCCTTGTACTGAGAAACCGTACCTCCGGATCATAGATACGTGTGCAACCTCACACGTGCAGAGCTGCCGATGGTTTGGTGTTCACCCTTTGTGTCCTGGCGGTGTTTATAAGTCGCACGTTGTTTAAATTGTAATACTGCTTAAATGCAAGCATTATTCCTGTTAGTACTAGCGATGATAAGTACAATAGCCTTCTGTCAACAATTAGGTAAGGGCCAGAACTCTAATACTTTGTTCTACAGTGTGTGGAGTTAACTTCTGTGGTTCATGTCCAACGTTGTCGCAAATTGTTTTCAGAGAACTTTGGGTGCTTGCTCTTTTGGTTAACATTTAGTTGATTTTGATACAGCTCTCTAGTCCTATTAATGTTTATTCGTTTTTGTGATGGACATGCCATGATTCGATACATCTATTTTACAATTTTAAGCATACTCCGTATCATATTGATCCATCATGTGTTGATACCAGAAAGTACTCCCAGGCCTCCAGCGTACTATTAACTGTTAGAGCCTTTACTGCGAATAACGATGGGGTTCATTGAGGACATTCTCAGTTGTGTGGCTCCGGTGTAGATCGGGTAGAGCTTGGTGACAGAGGAAGAGACCTGAAAGGTGAGGAAACAATTGGAACCGTTAACCAAAACCAGACGACCAACGCATTGTTGGCGGCATCCGGTTTCGGATTTGCCTGTCACTGTGGCGATCCACAGGACGCTGCGCCTACAGAGGGACCATGGGTGTCTTGCGCTGCACCACCCATAGCTCCAACCACACAACCCATATCCAGTGTAAACCCGAAGGAATAAGACCGGGAGGCATGTGGATGGGAGCCAGGTTTCATCAACAGAGCCGGCCCACACTCCTTCACAGGCAAACACAAGCACGCTGTATTTGGTGAATCAAGCGCACACAAGGCGGTGGCTGGACCGTGGACCGCTCCACATTGAGTGCATAGAACCACTCTTGGAGCCTAGTACGGCCACAACGACCGTGCACCTCGTCCCCTCCAGCAACGACCAACTGTCTCCTGGATCCAGTATGAACGAGGTAGTGGGTAATAGACAGGTAGGCACCTTGTCAACATGCACATCAAGCGCAGCCACACCGGGGATATCAACCAACAGCCAATCTCTTGAAACGACAAGATGAAATAAACTAAATCCAATAATGCATTCGTGTATAAAAACTAGCATAATAGACTAATGTAGTACGGGACAAGTTATTTGTGCGTAGCAATAACCCAAGACCTGAAGCAATGGCACTCTGAGCATAGAACGATAAACTTAGAGTTACTACGTCAGTATGTCTCCTTCAACTGGTTCAACTGAATTATGTGAGGTAATAGGCACATAGGGAGAGTTAAGGCAGGGTGAGATACCTAGATGTTTCTAATTAGCAATGTCACCTTAACATGATCGAGCACCATTTGTGGTGTTTTTAGAAAGAATGGCTATGAGTCTAGGATCCAAATATTTCCTTATCCCCTCATAAGGTAGTTAATTCTAAAACCACTCAAGGTCGTTTCACGTTCTCTTCGGTGGAACGTTACAGCAATGGAGTGCAGACTTCATTCGTTGTCTCTGGAAGAGACTCCATCCGTCTTCCCCGCCTGTGCGCTTGTGCAGGTTACAGTGGCTCTGAATGCTCTCAGACACACAGTAGAATGTGCTAAGATTGTGAGAGACTAAGAGTGTCAGTGTGCTTAAAAACGCCAGCAGCCGTTTAGAGCAAAGCTGATTTACGCACCGAAAGTATGTAGCACAAGGCTCCACCTGCAGGATTTCAATCGTGCTGATGTTTCGCAGTCCACGGTCTAGCTTCCTTCACACTCGAGCCGAAGCTTCTATCATAAACAAATGGGTCTTAGCTCTGACGATCTAATGTTCTACATTGGTTTGAGCATTGCTCAGCCTCCCCGGAGCTGGATTTGCGCTGTATAGCAGTTGTGTGATTAAGACTCCTCTTCGGGTATGCTTGTCAACGGTCCGTTGTGGATCAGCGTGGTCAGAGGCCCTCGCAAGGCGTGTAGAAGACAAAGGCAAACTACTACTGACGCCATCTTGCCTCTACACATGATCTCTTTGTTTCCCTCCAACACGAACGCACTGGTTGTGTCGCTTTTACATGGAACATACTTTAATTCATAGGGCAATCGATCGGTACCACAACGATTGTCTCTCATTTTGATTGTGGGTAGAGTTTGAGATTGTTGACTGGAAATGGTTTGAAATTTCTTACACGATATCTGACTTATTATTCATGTCCAACATTTTCGGTTAAATTATGCACCTTTATCGGACTACATAAAGTTGGTATAAACATACCTAGCAAAGTGTACGCCAAGAAATTCGCGAACCTACCATATGGGGACACCTTTAGTTCGACCACGATGACACCCTCGTCCGACATCGGTACATGGGTAAGATTAATAATAGTACTAGTAATAATACCTATATTTCTCGCAAACCGGGAAACTGTCTGTATCGGTGCAGATCGATATGTGCAAAAGTAACCGTGCTCTTGCATGGAAACAAGAGTGCTTAGAGGTCTGTGGGCCTCTCTTGGAATAGCTCATCGTTTAGTTTCCCCATATGTTTACAGTCCTCTATCGTATTCAGGGCAAGGCAACTTGCAAGGTTGCTACTAAATGTTGCCACATTGTCACCTGATCTGAGTGTTATTGGTAGTTTATTCCACAGATAGCTATATCTGATCAGAAAGAAATTTGAGCGAATGCGTGTTCTAGCCTTTGGTATATCCAGTGTATAATCGTTCACGGGGAATGCTGATCCTCAGCAATCCAAAAATTCCCATTTATTAGAATGAATCAAGCGAGGCAGAATCTGAGTAAAGAATTCTTTTCGGTAATTCTCATCAGGCTCAAACATTACATGATGACGAGAAAGTGCTAAATATGCCGGATTGGGCTGCGTATGGAACAGAACAGGAACAAACCAATAAATCACGGAGTCTTGGAAAGTGGCAAGTATATAATAAATGGGAAATCATAGCCGAAGTTGTAAGCCACGGTAGAAGGACATACAAACTGTTTTGTAAGCACAATTCTGGCTTGAGGTGGCGGATGTAGATAGCTTCCGCAATAAACAGAAGATGCATCCGGAATCCGCGCGAGAAACGTTCAGGAACAGTATAGATGACTCTAAAATCATTTTCCGTCCCTGCCTGACTGCACTCTAGAAGGTGAAACAAGATGGAACTTTTACTGGACCTCGCTTCGCCTTTGTAAAACCACTTTGGTCGAATAACTGATGGAAGATTGGGGTAAACATTTTTATCCTTGTTTTGATTGGAGATTCCAATGACACTGGCTAGGTAGAAGTAGCAGTCTGTCGTGCAATCATTCGGTTCCCTCCACACCATGGGGATTACAAATGGAATCTCACCTTCGCGCTTGAGGCACTGAGTCAGATGAAGTTTGCGCGACATACAAACCATCTGCGGCGCCCAATTCTTATAATGACCTCCCAGTTTAATCTCGAAGTATGCGTGGTAGGTAGACTTCAGTAGGGAACAAATGTATCTGCAATTTGACTTTGTATTAAACTGTCCATAAAAGTAAAAAATGCTTTTGGTCATTGACATAGCAATTAAGGAAAGGAAGCTCACAATCAGCTTTCAGTATCAGGTGGATATCATGGGTTGTATTTATTTTCCACACTTACAGGGAGGCAATAGACTAATCAAAGGCAAGCATTCGACGCATGGAATGCATTGTTTGGCTGAAATGCAAAACCGAAATTAAATGAAAACCCGACGTGAAAGAAACCGTTTATTTGCCTATTCGTAATCAGGTTACTTGGTACTATTTCAAGCTTCCTATATCCTTTCAGTTATAGAAAGGATGTGGCACAGCGTTAGTAGAGATTTTAGGTGACTCAGTAACTTTTCTACATAAGAAAGAGCTTTATGCATCCGGAGTTGGATAACCGGCTGTTACACACACGCCTTCAGCACTGTGAAAAGTAATATGCAGCTGAGACAGCAATATTGTCACAATGTAAATTTGCTT